ATTTAGCGGGACAAAGACAGAGAGAGATATGGCCTATAGAGACAGAATGAGATGGAAAGAGTGAAGAGAAACAGAAAGATTGAGAAAGTTGTACTTTTTTACTGAATTGATTTCGTAGGTGACTTCGCACCTGCTCCGAATTCTGATGCAATGCTGCATAAAAGCTGTACTAAAATTAGAGTTGTGGAAAACTCAGATTTGAATAATTGGTCCCTTTCAATTAATGATTTTTTAAAATTGAATTTGTGAAGTGTGGCCATGGTGTCCCATACTCAGAATTTGTGCTCTGCATTTAACCCATCCAAGTGCACACACAGTAATGAACACACACCTGGAGCAGTGGGCAGCCAATGCTGCGGCGCCCGGGGAGCAATTGGGGGTTCGGTGCCTTGCTCAAGGGTCTCACCTCAGTCGTGGTATTGAGGGTGGAGAGAGTGCTGGAAATTTTATTTAGAATTTTGCACTAAAATACATATTAAAACTAAAATACAAAATATTGTAAAAATGAATGGTAGCATCAGAGGAGCCTTTAACCTCTTTTGTTGTTGCGACATGAAAAGTAATATAGTTTTTCATTATATTTAAAATATATATGAACAAAAAATTATTTTATCAAATTGTTTTTGCAATTGTAAATTCTGTCTAAATGCATTTATACTTAATTTCTGCAGCGTTAAACAGTATGTGTGAACTTATCTTTTCATTGTATGCTGCTTGAGATGCAGCTTCTGTGCCGTTCTTGCAGTGTAAAGATGGCACATGTTGGCTTTGATTACTCTGCCATGATAGCACAAACACACAAAGACAGGCTGAGAAATCTTCCTCTGTGTTTACTCTTTCAATCGAGAGGTCCTCTTTCAGCCAGCTGTGTACACGTCTCAGAGACTGAGACTCTTTCCTCAGGAAATCATGAACCATGAGAACAGAGGGCGGGAGTGAGTTAAGAAAAAGGGAGAAAATACTGGAGTAGTCAGGATGAAAGTGAGGATAAAGGACAACACTAATAACATAGACAACGAACAGATGAAAAACTAAATGAGCAGTGGATCCATGAAGCACAAAAGACAGCACTAATTGCCCTAATTGTATCCTTTGCTCCTGCATGGCCCACTACTGTCACACTCGCCTGTCACCTGGGAATGATTGACAGGTGGGCAGGTGTGGAGCTGAGCAGGGGCTCGGTTGAGCAGCACTTCAGTTGTCCCAAATGTGTCTTTGATCTCCCCTGCGTAGACCAAAAACACAGCAGGGAGTCACAGCCAGCCCTCGGGGCTAAAGCCAGCACAGACAATATAGAGCAGAGGTGGGTCCGTTACATGAAGAGGTCGCACACTCTCTTGAGAACTCCCTGAGGCTCATACACAGCGCTGAATCCTGTCACATCTCATAACCTTCCTCTTTGATAAACTGAATCAACGGCCACCTGCCTCATTATTCACTCATTCACACCACACCTCCATAACTGTACGCACTGCAACACACATGCAAAAACTAAATAGTGAATAGAATTAAATACAATCTATTATTACATCAGCCTTTTCTGAGACTGTGTGTTCTTAACCAGACAAATCTACGTAGCATCAGTTCACCTGAGGTATGTAAAGCCTCGTTATAATATTGTTCTCACACATTCTACCACTTTTGTTAAATGTAATGCAATAAATTGCATGTTCTCATAGAATGACATGCACATAATATAAAACAGTTAATAAAAACCTCAAATAAAGTGGTCTAGATGCACTACGACATACTGACCTGTATCATAGAATATGACTAATACCCTGAAGCATGAGCAGAACTACTAGAGTACACTTAACAATAATCAAGCAACAATAAAACAAGAAACCCAAAGGTGGAGATTCAGTTCCTTCATCTTTGTGTGTTTTTAAAAATTCACCACCTTATAAGTCCTTATTAATATTATTATTATTTTAATAATTGTATTCCCTGCCTTCATTTTGTGTGATTATGATAAACAGTGACCTGGATAGGTGTAGACAATTTCATACATGTACAAAAGACTTTTATATATACAGATGCACACATATCATCTCTCTAATGGATGGTTCCTATAGTTCATCCTGCGTGTGTGCGTGTGTGTGTGTGTGTGTGTGTGCGTGTGTGTTTTAATTAAATAAATACTTAATATTTTGTTTCATATACAATTGTTTGCTTCATAAAAAAATAATTAGATAACGTTCAATTCCAGTTTAAATCACATTATTAGACACTCAGGAGGATAAATTACTCTCCATTGAATAATAATAATAAATTAGCTAATCATACAACAAATTACAAATATGTGTAACAACTGCAGACAGAGAACATGACTTAAGACATATTAAAGATTAGCATTTATATGTTTGTTTGTTTTTTGCACATGAACATCTCTTTAAATTTTCTATTTATTCATAGTGTGTATTTATTATTTTTAAAAGATAATAAATGAAAAAGGGGGAACTATTACTGAAAAGTAGAAAAATACATGAATTAGGGTACACTGAAGAACTGAATTGGATCATTCGGTTTTTTTCTTTATTTTCTTTTTATTGTTATTAAATTGATCACATATTCAGCCATCAATTATTATTATTATTATTAATCAAATAAAAGCTAAAAAAATGAAACAATTAAAACAGATATGTGTCTCATGGCTCTCTGGTTTAAACTGCAATTTGGCAATGTCTGAATTGTTTTATTCTTCTGTATCGACATCCTGTTGTTGACAACATTACGTTGTTTAATAATGTTCAACAATATAAACTACAGCAAAAAATAATGAAACAAGTAGGTTCTCATAATTGAATTATATTGAATTATAATTAAATGTAGTCGATAAATACGTTTGACGAAATTAAAATAATACTAATAAATAAATATGAACTGCATTCGTCATGGAGCAAAGTTTAACGGGTGTGAATCAAATAACTTTAATGTCAAACACCGATGACAAATGTCATAATTGAGAGGGGTTTCCTGTCAATGGTGTCAAGAAACTGCGCGTGAAGAATCCGGAAGCTGATGAGATGTTCAAACAAAGCACCTGACTCGGATGCTCAAACTGAGCGCACAGATTGAGAGGGGCGGGGACCCTCTGCCGCTCCCCGGACTGTTTGCAAGGGTCATTTAGCATAGCGATCTTGTAAATATTGGGGAGTTTAGCCAGCTATAAAATCCGGGGAGGAGGCGGCATGGGGCGAGAGGATGCAAGCCTCAAATTAACAGATCCTGCGTCTCAGGAAGTGCAATGGTGTGTTAAATTAAATGCAGCTGGTGAAAAAGCAGGGCATATATTTTATTTTAACCGATGAAAGATTGAGAGTTATTATTTTTAGCTTCTTTTTTTTAAAGCCCACTATTCATCAATGGCATTCCCTTAAATGGTTTATATATTTTAAAAGTGGTTGAATAATTAACAAGAATCAATCTTAAAATTTTAACAATACCCCGATAACAGAATATTTTATGCTTTTGTTGGTGATGACAAAATCCTGTTAAAGGGCGAAATCCAAAGGCGAAAGCAAAGACAGGTATCGTTTGTGCAGCGCAAAATGTACATAAATGGGCTAATTCATATTTTTGATAATTATAACGTGTACAACATTTACAGTCCGGCTAAATCCAAAATCTCCGGGTAACATGAAACAATTCTAGTACCAAATTAAAGTAGCCTACAATTTATATTAAAATATATTCAGCCAAAAACCTATTAACTCGAAGAAAACGGGTCAGCCTAAAAAGTTTTCCTTATAAGACAGGAACGGTGAACCAATCCATCTAAACAAACGCTGAAAGAAAGGGGCTTCTAAAACGATCGATTGTTTAATTAAAGATGCTGAAGCCTGTCAACCAGCAGAATGATGAAGTCAGAACTGTGACTTACAGCGGAGCTGCATGTGTTTTAATGAAGCGCTCTGTAATTGCATTTGCATCCTGACGGACGCGGTCTTACACGTTGAAGTTAAATATGTAACCGACTTTGGATTAATATTTCACACGTTTAATACACGCTGTCGGGAAAAGCAATCCATAGTCCATCAGACAAAGAATTTCTGCCAGAGCTAAAAACAGTATCGACTAGGCAAACTCAACATTTTGAAATGAAAAATACGTATATGATTTTAAATAGTTCAGATGGTTAAATAAACTTAAAAAGTGCAATACAAATAAATCATCAAGACCGACACTCTTTTGGAAAACTGATGTATTTGAGTATTAGAGTAAAGAATTACAGTATCGTAGTTGTTAGTAGGTATTAAACTGTAGAGAAACTGGGCCCTAAAAGATCTTCCAACGTTTCAAGAAAGTGCATGTAACAGTCCATATATATATATATATATTTATATAAAAAATTTTAATTGTCACAACACTTAGTGTAGCATTGAACATATGAGGTGTACATTTTCTCATCTTTATGCTACTTTTGCTATTTTCAAAGCTCAGAAATGATTTATTGATCCCCATTCCCAATTTATGAGACAATGTTTTCAAACTGATAGTGTTTAATGCATTGCAAATTCATTATAAATTTTTTATATCAATACTTTATGCAGTGAAATCAGACATCTGAAAATGAATTTTCAATTTCATACTTCGCTAAAAGAGTACCTACTTATTTATTCAGAGGGAAATTAATAGTTTGATTAGGGCTGTGCAAATAATCGAATGCGATTTTCATGCGCATCTCGTCAGTAAAGCCGGTTCTGTGATTAGTAGTAAATCTCCAGCACGTCCTTTCAGATAGAGCGGCATTTAATACACAGAGCCGTAAATCACTGACAAGCTACGCAAAATCACATTCAAAATGGCAGGCGATTCATTGACGATTATGAACGCGTTTTTGCATAGCTTGTCAGTGACCTACGGCTCTGTGTAGTAAATGCCGCTCCATCTGAAAGCACGTGCTGGAAATGTACTACTAATCACAGAACTGGCTTTACTGACGAGATGCGCATGAAAATCGCATTTGATTATTTGCACAGCCCTAAGTTTGATATTTACATTTCTTCCTGAAAATTATGCCTATTGCGAGTCACATTTCACACAAATTAGTGCAATCACATATCCATATAAACCCCCCAGGATTCTGTTTATCTGTGTGCTTGGCCTATTTATTTATTGCGATCAAAGATAAACTCTGGAAAAATAGTTAGCATGCCACTGCTAAGGGTGGTTACCGTTGGTAACTATGGTTAAGGCCTGTTAAGTGAAGCATTCTTGGCTTTGTTCTACCAATTTCAAGTTCAAGTTTCAGCCCAATATTCATATTAATTGGATGACTCACCATTTCCACTTCCTCTTTATTATTTCTGTATACTTTCTTTATAATTGTATACTTTCTGTATAATTTCTTTATGCATGCTTGTGCTTTTCACTTTCCCCCCTTATTATTCACAAAGCATTCTACTTATTTTCCCTCATCAATACTTGTTTATATGATCAATCCCTATTTTGGCTGGCTTTTCACACACATGAATAGCAAAATAACATCAAGTAAAAAGTTCAAATAACGTATTTCATAAAAAAACAGAGAAAATAATTTTCTTCTTATATACAGCAGTAATTACCTTGAGATTTCCTTTGGTGGTAAATGCTCGTCCACAGATTGTGCAAGCAAAGGGCTTCTCTCCCGTATGGGTTCTCTCGTGGATTTGCAGGGCACTGGAGGAGGAGAATGTCTTCCCACAAGTGTTACAGTAGTGCTGCTTAGGCGTCCTCCGTGGTGGGGCGGCCGAAAGTACTGGAGAGGTGGAAGCAGATGAGGTCACCAGTGCTGGGGGCAAGTCTTTTACTTCAGGTTGAAGGCCATGCAGAAAGCCATTGACCTCAGCCTTCATCATTGAGGACAAGGGTCCAACAGATAGAAGCGATGGAGTTGGGCTGGAGGCAAGACTGGTGTTAGGCTCAAAGAGCTGGGAGGGCAAATCTCGCATCTGGTGGGTCAGCATATGTTGCTTCAAGTTCCCCTTGGTGGAAAAGCCCCGGTTGCATGCTGTGCAAATGAACGGTCTCTCTTTGGTATGGCTTCGGTAATGGATGTCCAAGGCACTCTGGCAGGCAAACATTTTGCCACAGATGTCACATGCTGTATTCTTCAAGGTGCCTCGCTCACGGAAGGGGAAAAGCATGCTAAGAGGATCTTTTGATGAGTTAATTGAAGTAAGATCCAGAGCTCCAGGACTGTGAGAATGAGACTGCATGAGACCCACACTAATGTAGTCCAATGACAATGCCCTCTGCTGCCGGTCCTCCAGACTAGGAGACTTTTGCTGTTGGATAGTACCATAAGAGGGTGATGGAGCTTGCATGGAAGAGGTAGATTCAGAGACAGCTGGACTTCCGGCACTTTGGCTTTCGATGTCGCCTCCAAGAGAAGAGGAGTCATTTGTGAGTCTGTCTCCTTCCATTACTCCGTTCTCCATTAATTTCCCTTGGTCACACTGCACTTCTTCTTCTGCTCCCTGATTGGCACTCTTCTCTTGGCTCTCCATGCGTAATGACTCCTGTGGAGTAGGGGATGAACAGAGGCTGTCTTGAGATGCATCAACTGACTTTGGTGTGTCTGGAATGCTGCTGTCTGGTCCATCCTCGATTCCTTCCATATTTTCATCAGAGAAGTTTTCAAGATCATCAAAGTTTCTTTCATCGAATGAGCCAGCATCGGATCCCATGGATTCTGGATAGTTGTCAGGAAGAGGGGTGTTAGGGATCTGGCCACCCATATGCATGCGAATGTGCTGCTGAAGTACCACAGCGTTTGTGAACTTCTTCTGGCAAATAGGACAAGAATGCTGGACCCTCAGTGGCGGCATAGCTCGATGGACACTGTAATGAGTCTTGAGATTGCCCTTGGTGGTGAAGGCACGACCACACACTTTACATTTGAAAGGCCTCTCCCCGGTGTGTGTGCGGTAGTGCATTTTGAGTGCACTCTGGCAGCTAAGAACACGGTGGCAGATAACGCACTCATTAGGGTCTGTCACTTTCCTGTCGATGTTCTCAACGAGTTGCTGAAGCTTAGATGTTTCTGAACCTTGGAGAGGATCAAGGAGACCCCCGAAAGGAAACTTAGCTTTGAACTGTTCTGACATCAGGGGCATGAGTGGATTAGTGGCCATGGGAGGGCTGTTGGAGGTGGTGTACTCAATGGTACCCTCCACTGCAGAGCTCATGTTTGTCGTTAGACTGGATGAATGGTTGTTTTCTTCAACTTTTTCATATGAGGTAGGCAGGGTTGTGCTCTCCCCTTCTTCCAACACATTATCTGTGTTCCTCATAAGTGCATCAGCAGGACCTGAGTCGCTTTTAGCAGAATGAGAAGGGCTGCTTATAGCCATTGAGCTATTATCTTCCTTCTTGATGAATGGAGGCAGGCTTGGTATAGTTGGTGGAAGTAACATGCCAACAGAAGATGTCAGAGTAGACAGAACAGGTTTACTATCGAGCCAGCTAGTCACTGGCTTCTCGGGAGGCATAGACATACCAAAGGGAATGCCAGTACTCGTAGGAATATTGTCTAGATGTTCTGGTACAGGATATGGGTTCATCTGAATGTGTGGATACTTCTCTTTATGACGCTGAAAATGAACCTTCAAGTTACCGCGTGTGGAAAAGCGGTTGCCACATATGTTGCATTTGTATGGCCTCTCACCCGTGTGAGAACGTAAGTGAATCTGCAAAGCACTGTCACTACCAAACACCTTGCCACAAAACCTGCACTTATGCTTAAAAAATGTTTCCTCAGAGCTACTCTTCGGTTCAAAAGAAGATACATTAGGTGGCTTGCCTTTTCTTTGCTGAGCAAGTGCAGCCAGTGAGTTGAGATCCTCAACTGTGGTACCGACACTGGGCAGTGCACTGGAAAATATTGGGTTGCCTGGTGGAGGCTGAGGTAGAAGGGTATTAGCCACAGGATTCAATAGGCTTCCCATTGCAAAGGCTGGTGTGGATGACTTCGCCAGTGATGGATTTCCCAACTGAGGATGCAAGCTTCCTGCATTACCTGGCCTCTTGTCTGAAGGTGGGGCATTAACTGTAGCTGGTCCTGCTGCTCCAAGGTTTTGAGATGACTCTCCCACACTGGAATTGTTCTGAGGTAGCTGCACAACATTAGCCATCTGTTTCAAACTGCTAATGCTTGCAGACTGGCTAGCTATGCTCTGTGCTAACCCTGCAGCAGCTGCCAACTGTTGAGACAAATGGGAACTAAGAGTGGTTAGTGGGCTAGTACCTGAACCTAAAGTCACATGGGAAGAATTAGGCGGTGCTTGGATCTCAGGTGACTGTGAGGCTAGCATAAGAATCTGGTGACGAATCTGCTCGATGAGCTGTAGCTGATGGATCTGCTGCTGCTGTAGGGCCAAAAGCTGCTCCATGAGGGCTGGCACAGCCACTCTTTGCCCTCCCGCTGCTCTGGTCTCTTGAGAGAACTGGGCCACTGCCACTTTGGTGCTCTGTAGGTTTTCAATAATGACGTTGCTGTTGATCATGGAAAAATTACCCAGCTCAGTCAAGTTACCCAGCTGAGGTAGTGAGGCAGAGATAACAGAGTTCCCCAGATTGGACCCAGTGCTGCCCAGAGCTCCATGGCTGCTTCCAACGCCACTGAGTGGGCTGCCACCTGCCATACATCCACTTCCATCATTATGAGGTGCAGAGACTCCTGACATCTCAGTGTCCATGGCCTCCTCTTTGTCAAGTACGTTCTGCTCCAAAAGGTCGGTCAACTCTGCTTGATCTGTGTTATTAGTTGTATCATTCATCTGCTCATCAGGATTATGAGGAGAGGAGCCTGGGGAGAAGGTTCCGGAAGGAGACACTGGATTTTCATTCACAATTAGAACTAATTGATTCTTAGTGCAATTCTTCTGGTGTTGTTCAAGATCCGATAGTTCAAAGAACTCTGCGCAACATCTACTGCAGACATGGGCACCCGAGTCTTTACAGGGGGAGTCGTCCGGTTTGGTCTCTGTGTCCCCTGCAGAGGAAATAAGAGGGGGGAACAGGGGGATTAGTGATTAGAGATGTTTTGTATCTGAAGAAGCAGCTTTATCTCTGCAAATTCTTTTGTTATTAACCCTCTGTTAATCAGTTTAATGCTTATCCCCCTCATACGTTCAAAAAACAACCATCAAAAAAGAAACAAATACCAAATAACACCAATAAAGTGGCCTCCACACTATGTAGAGCTATGATGAAATAGGATAAGAAAAGAGACAAAATCAATAGCACTTTTACAATATTGCTTAAAAGTGATCTTTGAAGATGTGTATCAAAGTCCCATCAATTCAACCACCTTAGGTAATCATTTTCTTCAGATAATCCATCAAAACATAAAAAATACTATGAACTGAGAACAATGGGCCCTAATTAAATTTCATAGAGGGCCATTGATTTCCAATATTTCATACTCCTCAATGTCTACATGTCCACTAGGCACAAATCAACCATTTGAAGGACTTATTAGACTTTCAATTTGCTGTCAACTTTGCTCATTTTCAACCAACTGCAGGCATCTTGGACAGGTTATCCCTGTCACTAAACTAATTTGTATCCAGTCAGCCTGCAATCAGGATCTGACAGGAACAAGTAAGCCTTTGGCATTCAGATTGCTACGCACTCTGCAGGAGCACAGAAATTCACTCATACCAGGCTAAGCATGAATGAAGTAATTGCATGATCATCTTAATACAGAGAGTGGTTTTAAAATGATTTGGAATACTAAATAATTATTCAATCAGTAGGAACATTTGTAACTAGTTTTAGGTGATTGTTTATGCAGCGTTATCAGTGCAAGCATTTGAATAAAAAATAAAAATACAAAAAAATAAAAAGTAAACAATTACTGACCATTTGGCTAACCAAGAAACTCTTTGCTTGAGTAAACAAGTGTAAGTTTAAGTGTACAGTAATAATATCACATGCCAGAACACATGCTGATTTTTTTTTTTATTTATACAGTGGAACAGGTTGGGACTTTTTCTTGAAAATGAACCATAAGCATTCGCAAAAGAAAAACTGTTCAGTTCCCTCCCTCCCAGCCCTTTTAGGGCTGTGGCCTTTCTCCAGTTTCCTCATTCTTTCTCACCCCACCTCCTTTCTTTTTGTCCCTCAAAAATCATGCTGTTTAACATACAAGTTGATTTACAAATTGCAATTCTCTATGAGTCCCACTCATTGTGGGGCTTCGCTCTCAACATTTTCATCATCGTGGAGATTCATTTGCAAATGAAACCCCTGCAAGAAGTGTGTCCCAGCCCTGTGGAGAGACAGGATGGCTCCCCATTGTTTTAATTAAAAAAAAACATCTGCGTGCCCAAAAATAAATAAAATAGCATTTGAACAAATACATGAATAAATTTGCATTTTAAATAATTATTTTCAGTCTAAAAAAAAACAAGATAAGCAAGCTGAAATGAATTTTCTCAACTAGAAAAGCATTAATAGTTGAGAATTTAATTATACTCAAACAACAATGTGCAATGGGCAGCTTACAAAGCCAGATGTGTGTCTATACGTAGTCACTCTAAAGTACATGGAAAGCAAGAAACGACGCTAGTTTGTAAAAGCTATTGTACACTGTGCATGGCTGTGTGCTGAGCTGTAGATTAGTGAGGCAGAGCTAGTTTTGATGAGAACAGTTCTATACAGTGAGATGGATTTGGGACATCGTCAGCATGCTACAGAGCAGGTCAAAGATCTCATCCCAAGCAAATCAAGACAGAAAAAAAGAGAGAGAATTGGTGATGTGGTAAGTAAAAAAAGAAAAAAGAATGACTAGAAAAAAAGAGAGGATAAACATACATGATAATAATTTGTAATGTCTACGTTACTTTTCTCAGCTGCAGGCGCCTTGCTAGTTGTGACTTCGAAGAGTGAGTTACCGTTCACTCAGAACCTCCTTGTGTGTCCCTTACTATCTTCCACCCACCCTCAACTTTCCTGCTTTCACTTAGCGTCCCTCCCTCACTTTCTCTCTCAAGCCATAGAAAACTTCCTACTGAACACTAGATGGTGTGCCTGGGAAAGGCTTATCTGCTGGTCACCGAGCCCTCATCCTCAATTCTTATGACTTGCTCTTAAAAGGACGAGTGTGAGAGGAGACTTGAGAATTGTTTTTTTTTTTAATCAGACGTTGAAGCCACTTCCAAAACTTTCACTACATAAACACTGACAAAATGACGACATTACAAAATCCCTGTTGTTTGCGATGCTTGTGTGTGTTTTGGAGGGGGGGGGACCTCGCTGACAATCTCTCTGGGTAGATGTGTGGCAAATTTGCTGAGGTGAAAGGGGAAAGCAGCCACACTGATCTCAATCCACATCACCCCCCACCTCCTCAACCACACACACACACACACCAGAAAAAAAGTAAGAGTCCCTGTTTGGCTGGCTATAGCACAGCATGGTGGAGGTCAGAGACATGGTACACATGAACAAACCGTGACCTGATCTCTCCTCGCCTCCCCACAGAGGAAGCCTGGCAAAGGTTAAAAAAGCTCTACATCCCACCCTCAGTGACAGGCCAACAGGGACAGACTCCTCACCTCCGTCTAGCCGTAATACTGCTTTCTAATACCTCACACAGGCAGCAAAGCATAGGGGGGAAATTAGCCTCTCTGCTTTTTCTCAAGTGAGAAGACACCAAGGAAGTTTATCTGTATTTATCAAGACCTGGTTTAAACCAAAGTTTAAGGAAAAAAGTTACCAAGCAATGCTTAAATCACGAAGACAGCAATACATTTCTGAACTGACATAGTCTACAGGTTATGCCTTTTCCTCTTGCTTTGAATGAGCTGTATTTGGCGAAAATGTGAACTTGGTCAGCTGACAGCGGTTGACAAACACTGCCATTCACGTCTTTATTAAATTGAAAAGGGAACATCCAGCTATGCCATGATTTTGAAAATCTGTTTTCTTTTCCGTTTCTGAAATTCTAGCAGTAATCACATAAAATGTACCTATGAATGAAATTTACCTTCGGAAGTCAGTCGCCAAACAACTGCTTATGTAGCCTAAATCTGGGCCTGTTCTCGTATTAATTTTTAATAACAACGAGCTGATTTCTGTATTTCGTTCTCTACGAATTAAAAGGGAATAGGCTATGTTCAAATAAGGGGATGTAGCTTCTTAGTATTGCATCTCAACACACAGAACCGCGAAAATCAGTATTTTAAAAAAAACTTAGGCTATAACAAGGGGGAAAACCCGATTAGGCCTATAACTGATATATTTTCTGTTCTCATATCCAAACATAAACACATTGTAGGTTTAAGGAACGCCTATGAAACTGAAGTTGTGACATCTAAAAGCAACTGGTGTCTATAGCGGCCCATTATCTGCAACGAAAAGCAGTGTATTTTTATTTTATTTATAACCTCAGAAATCAAATGAATTAACGTGAAGAGGAGGAGCGTAAAATAACGTTGCTGTTTACTGCAATATTGAAGAGCTAATAGTCGTGTTGTGCCAGTAATTAATGTTTCTATATGTAGGCTAACATAAAGATTGCCGTAGAACGGTCATTAAATGAACGGTGTGCTACATTTCTATAGCCTACTAACTTTCGCTTTTGCATTAATAGTATACGTAGGTCACTTCTGTTCATTCGTCACATGTTCCACAACGGAATATTGAAAATGGATTTGACTAAAAGCTGAATAAAAAATAAACTGAAGAAAGTTATTTGGATCTAGTTTCGATATGAAACAAAATCCCTACCTCTTCAAAGGTCCCATTCTAATCAGAAACATGATAGCCTACTAAACGCTGAGTTAAGCAAGAGATAGGAGACTTCCTCCGAAACACCTCGTTTTAAAACGGTTCAAGTAAGACGCTTTACTGATCAGAATGTTCAGCATGCCCTTTACATTCTTTTTATAGCTCGATGGGACGTGAGACGGTAAAACAAGAATAGGCTTAAAATTTGTAGTCAATGACTGTTACAAAACCTAGTCACTGCCTGGCTGACTTCAGAAACAGAAATGTGCAAACACTAAAGACTATTAAATTAAATGACTACATTTAGTAGGAGAGCATTTTAGAGAAAAAAGAATCATTCATATAGAATTAGGCTTGTTATAGCCTATCGTTATTTTACATGTTCAAAGAAAATAATAATTCTATAATATAGGCTCTTAATAAATATTTTGCACTCTTATTTGTAGCTCGAAAAACATATGTGTAGTAAATGTACGTTTTAAAAGATGACAAGGCACTGTATTATTTGGAATACTAAATAATTATTCAATCAGTAGGAACATTTGTAACTAGTTTTAGGTGATTGTTTATGCAGCGTTATCAGTGCAAGCATTTGAATAAAAAATAAAAATACAAAAAAATAAAAAGTAAACAATTACTGACCATTTGGCTAAGCAAGAAACTCTTTGCTTGAGTAAACAAGTGTAAGTTTAAGTGTACAGTAATAATATCACATGCCAGAACACATGCTGATTTTTTTTTTTTTTATACAGTGGAACAGGTTGGGACTTTTTCTTGAAAATGAACCATAAGCATTCGCAAAAGAAAAACTGTACAGTTCCCTCCCTCCCAGCCCTTTTAGGGCTGTGGCCTTTCTCCAGTTTCCTCATTCTTTCTCACCCCACCTCCTTTCTTTTTGTCCCTCAAAAATCATGCTGTTTAACATACAAGTTGATTTACAAATTGCAATTCTCTATGAGTCCCACTCATTGTGGGGCTTCGCTCTCAACATTTTCATCATCGTGGAGATTCATTTGCAAATGAACAATTTCTCTTCCGAAAGACCAACCATATCTTTTGATCTCGGTGGGCATCAAACTGGTGCTCAAAAGTTGCAATTCACCAAAAAGTGTCCGGATGGCCAAACTCTCTGCCAAAGGTCTCCCACAGCCCTTTCCTTAGCTTGACGTTTCAGAGCGTTTCGCGTATCCTCGTTTGTGATTGGCATTCAAGTTGTTGTAATTCAGCCCCTGGATCATTGCAAGCGCACCGTTTCTAAGCAAGTCGTTCTTTCCTCAAGGCAGCGGTGTTA